GGTTGGCATAGCCAACATGAGGGTACTTGGAGGCAGTTCTGACATCGTACGGACAATTGGAATTTTAGAAATGGTTTTTCATATCAGAATGGTCAGTCTTCTACCCTGTGAGTCCCAAATGAAGACCCTGGTAGATGTGAGTATTCAAGGGAATTAAAAGGAGTAGCCTCTTGGGAAATGACAGTAAGACACCTTTCATTGTAATTAAGCTGATTTGTGTATTCATTCATTCCTTTTTTCATTCATTATGTAGTAACTGAATACACAGAGTATACCATAACCCACTCTACTACCATTGAGTTGATTCAGACTCTGTAGAACCTTATAGGACAGTGTAGAATTGCCCCCACAGGGTTTCCTAGGCTGTTGATGTTTACGGAGGCAGACTGCCTCATTTTCTCCCACAGAGCAACTGGTGAGTTCAAACTGCTGACCTTTGGTTAGCAGCCCAGTGCTTTAACCACTGGTCCATGAGGGCTCCTGAGTGAGTATACAATAGATGTAAATAGGAACATTCAATGGCATAGGAATTTCTTACAAATTGTTATGATTTGACTTATTGTAATACCCATCATGTGCCATTTAAACATTAAAAAGCTCTAACTGTTAAATCCAGGTAAATTCTATTACATTTGTCTGTTACTCCTCTCACACACTTTTCCCTCCTAATCCTTAGAATTTGGAATTTAGCAAAATGAGCAGTTGAATGTGACATTGGCCTTCCCAGTAATGTCATAGGAGCTCTGGTGGCATAGTGCCTAAGGCATATGACTGCTAACCAGAAGGCTGGTGATTCAAACCCACCAGCCACTCCTCAGAAGGAAGGTGAAGGTTGAGCAGTCTAGTTCTGTAGTGATACTGCCTTGGAAACCCAAGGAGGGCTCGCTATGAGTTAGACCCAACTCAATGGCAATGACCAGAGCTCCCAGTAATGTTACAGTGTGTAAAAATGCTATAGTATAGAACAGTACACATGGTGCACATCAAAGAATTTGACAGAGGGTGTGTGACCTTTTAACATACACACATGCACACACACACATACACACACCATATATATGTAGAACCAAACTCACTGCTGTCAAGTCGGGTCCAACTCATAGCTACTCCTCCTTGGGTTTCTGAGGCAGTATCACTACAGAAATAGATTGCCCAATCTCCCTTCTGAGGAGTGGCTGGTGGGTTTGATTCACCAGCTTTCTGGTTAGCAGTCAAGTGCCTTAGGCACTACGCCACCAGAGCTCCATATATATACACACACACATGCACGTGCATATACCCACACACATATCAAACCAAACTCACTACATTAATTCAATTTTGACTCATAGTGACCCCCATTAGGTTTCCAAGGCTATAAATCTTTACAGAAGACCAATAAGGGGTTACAAGGATGATAATGACAAATAACAAATGGGAATTTAAACACAGTATTTTAGAACTTATATGGAAGAGGAGGACAAGGGAAGATTCTCTAGGAACCCAGAAGGAAGAGCAGAAGTTGATTTTGGCCTTTACACCAAATTAATTTTGAAATTTTAAATTATTTTCTATTTTCACTGTCTTTTCACTCATTATACCTTACAATGGAGAGGCAACCAACCACAAAACAGGACACTTTGTCAAGGAAACAAGCTCTGGCTGTTCTTCTGTGATTGTTACCCATTAAGCAGCTTTTTTTTTTTTAACCTCTATAGCTGCATCTGTAGCTCCATGATTATTGTTCATAGTGATGATCCAGAGTCATTAGGAAAAGATTATGTTTCTCTTCAAGAAGGCAGGGGATAGGCTGTGTCAATTGTGAGCAAATGAGCAGTAGGCTGTTCACTGCAGGAATGGAAGAACTTGTTTCTTCAAGCTTATTTGGTAGTGATTCTGATAGTGAAGTTGACAAAAAGATTGAAGAAGAAAAACAAGTTACTCCAGAAAAACCTGTAAAGAAGCAAAAGACTGGCTAAACTGCAAGAATCCTATCATCCTCTGTTTTAGGCTGAGTTCTCTGGGGAAGAAAAACTGTTGAAGCTTTTTTATGTGTGTGTGTATGTGTGTGTGTCTGTGTATATGTGTGTATATATATGTATATGTGTATATATATATATAGAGAGAGAGACAGAGAGGCAGAAATTTATCAAGAAATGGCTCATGCAGTTGTAGAGGCTAGTAAGTCCCAAGTCCATAAGTCAAACGTCAAGCTGGAGGCATCTCCTGACTCATGCTGGAGGCTTTTCCTGACTCATGTAGTTGCAGGGACTGACGAGCCCAAGATTAGCAGGCAGCATAGCAGGCTGCTGCCCTCAGAGGAGAATGAATCCAAGATCGGCAGGTAATATGGCAGATTGTTGGCTCACAGGCTGCGAAGCCAACAATCCCAAGATCAGCAGGCAGTATGGCAGGCCACTGGTCCGAGTCTAGGAGCCAGTGAGCAGAAAGCCAGAGAGTTTTCCCATGACATCTATATTGGAAGTAGGCCATATCCCTGAAGAAACTTCTTTCAATTGATTGGCCGATAATCGCAAATTTCATCATGGATGTGATTATATTATATCAGCTCTCATGATGGGAATGACAAATGACTATATCATAGCTTCTCAACCACTTAGAATCATGCTCTAGCCAAGTTGACACACAACTTTAACATCCTCCAAGCAGAGCAGCAACAAGAGATGAAATCATGTTACAAATTGGGAAAATGAGGTATGTCAGTGTTTGGGACTTTAGGATAAAGTCCTAATTGATATCAGATGGATTGGGAAGGTGAAATGAAATCAGGAAGAAAATGTTATTTCTCTAAATCCTGAGCACTGAAGCCAATGGAAGGAAAAGACTTCTGACATTGATGATGCAGTAAGAAAACTATAAAATCAGAGCTTATAAAACTTGTACTGTTCTGGTTGTATGAATCTGTCTTTTTACATTAGCTTTCATTTTCTAACTTGGTTTTCCAAGCTATCATATATTTAGATTGAAGAACAATTTGTGAGATGAATATTTTTAATGTGCATTGTTAAAAATGTTCTGAGAGAAGCTAATTGTCAACTTTATATGGAGTATTGCGTTAGGCCCACCACCTACTGTAAAATAAAATCAAGTAATACAATCTTTAAAAAATAAAAAAATAAAATAAAGAAGATAGGGGCATGGGAAATGGGTCTTAGAAAATTTTATATTTAAAAAAATTACTGAGAATGTAAAATTTTTAGGAAAAGTCCAGTTTCTATAAGATTTACATAATGGGAAAAGCTGTTCCCCTCTTGCTCAGTTTCTCCCAGAGAGCCCAGTGCAACAAACATTGTATCATTTTCTCTCTCTGTTTCTTGGTTTAGCCTCATGGACAGTGTTTTATTTTCCTCTGAATGAATTTCTTTTCTTTGACTTGAAATAGAATTAGATACAGTATTAATTGGTACTGTATATGTAAACTTTATTAGTCCATTGACTACTCATCTTTTATCTCGTTGACTATTATTAAAGAAGCTTCATTAAAGGTACTCGTAACCTGTTTTGTGCATTTGTCAGTTTTTGCCTTTGGCCAACATAAAATTCACTTGAGTAATAGTTTCATGTGATATTAAATTATTTTCAACTTGTCTGGACATCAGGCCATTTTACATTTTTCATTACACCTGATGATAAAGCAGCAGATAATCACATAGCAGGGAATTTTAAGAAGCCACAAGGAATTGGGGCTGAATATAAACACCAAAAACCAAACCCACTGCCATTGAGTTGATTCCAACTTATAGCACCCCCCATTGGGTTTCCAAGACAATAAATCTTTACAGAAGTAGGTTGCCCCATCTTCCTTCTGCAGAGCAGCTGGTGGGTTTGAACTGCCAACCTTCTGGTTAGTAGTCAAATGCCTTAGGCACTGCACCACCAGAGCTTTTCTGAATATAGCGTGTTTTAATTGTAGGGAAGAGTCCCTGCATGGCACAAATGGCCAAGCGTTTGGCTCTAACCAAATGTTTGCAGTTTGAACCTGTCCAGTGGTGCCTCAGGGGAAAGGCCTGGCATCTGAAATGGCACACTTAGAAAAATCCTATGGAGCACAGTTCTGCTTTGCAATGCGTGCTGTTGCCATGAGTCAGAATCAACTTGCTGGCCGGTTTGTTCTTAGAGAGACAAAATGGCCAAGTTTATGACTAAAACCAAAAAACCAAACTTGGCTGTCAAATCTGTTCCAACTCATGGCAACCCTATGTGTTACAGAACATAACTAGGCTCCATAGGGTTTTCTTGGGAGCAGCTTGTCAGACCTTTCTTCTGTGGCATCACTGAGTGAGTGTACACCACCAATCTTTCGGTTAGTAGAGAAGTAAGTACACACCATCTGCGCCACACAAGTACTTCATGTTTATGAGTCAAAAAAAAAAGAAAAAAGAAAAGAAAACCTCACTGCTGTAGAGTTAATTGTGACTCGTAGTGACCCCCTTTGGGTTTCTGAGGCAGTAAATCTTTATGGAAGTAGATTCCCCAATCTTCCTTCTGTGGAGTGGCTGGTGGGTTTACTGCCAGCCTTCTGGTTAGCAATCAAATCCCTTAGGCACTACACCACCAGAGCTCCTTATGTTTATGACTATAGGTGATCAAAAACATTCTCTCTGCATGTGTAATCAGCTGTTTCACTTTCTCATAGTGAAAACATAACAAGACGGGCCTAGTAAGAAAAGTATAAACTATCATGTTAAAATCATGGTTTGTTATATTTCTGTATGTCACTTATGCAGGTATATCTGACATTTGATAGTCTTTCTATCCGTTGAGTCTTATTAGAATTTGAGCATCAGGGAGTTGAAATGTTTTAAGAAGATTTCTTTTTCACTATTGCTTCTGGGAGACTAAAGGAGAAAACAAAAGTTAAGCCTCTTTTATAGTACCAAAGTTGAGTGTTGACGATGTGTGCTTATAAAGTCCTCTCAGCACTTGTGTAACTGGTGGCATTAAAGGCAACTTTAAAAAGAATAACTTCTGATCTCCATTTTTTGTTTTTTAATTTTTAGATTTGTAGCCAAACCATGTGCTATAGCCCTCAACATCCAGGCCAATGGACCACAGATTGCTCAGCCAAATGCCATTCTGGAAAAGGTCTTCACTGCGATTACAAAGGTATGACTGTCCTTTGCTGGGGTACGAGCTGTCATGACCACCATTCTCAATCTGAAATCACTCAGTCCTTCTCTCCTGGGTTTTGAGAATTAGCTTTTTCTTAGTAACATGCTGAAAAGCGTGCTGTCAGAAAGAATGCAGACATTGTGACAACCAAGACAAGTAGAAGCTGAATAAATGTGAGCATGTTTGAGGCCTGTTAGTTTATTTTCAAGTTGATTCTTGAAATTTGTCTATGAAGAACTATCTAGATTAGATAGTGATCAGTCTAATTCTGCACTTCAATTTCATGTGACATGAGCAGTACTTATAAGGGCTGTGTAGCACTTTATGATGGTGACTGTGTAGAGTTGAGAAATATTATTTATGTGTGCATGGGGAAAAAAAGGAATAGTTGAAGAAGATAAGAATTGTCACAAAAAGGAAGAAAGGACCAGAGTTATGAATGAATATACAGGTTCACTGTGAAGAAGAAAAAGAGAGCAAGTAATTAATCTGGTTGGAGTTCAAGTTCAGACTGAATAGGCTAAAGAGAGCAGATGATGGGATGGAGGAGAGATAGGGAATGTCTGCCTCACCTCCTGCTCTCCAAGTTGGAATCTCTGTATGAACAAAAGGGGGAGGAGAAAATATGGAAGTCAGAAACCCTGTCTAAGGTTGTAAGAAAATAAAGTGAGTCAGAGAGTCCTTATACCTTATAGTTGGTAAGATGCTCCTGCCTGGATTAGAAAGAAGAAAGGAATAGGAGAAAGGTAACATTCTATGAGAAGTATTGTGGGTTTGTTTATTAAATGGTTCATTTTTGCTCTTTTTTTTGGAGAATTCTTCAGGCTTCTCAAGTGCAACCTGGCAGTGCTAAGCAAATTTTGTTCCATTTTTGGTATTTGTGTTGATAATCATTTATACTAATTTGCTCTTGTCTTAAAATGATTAATCCAAATATCTAAGCATTTTTGCTTATTTTATGGTCACATCTGCCAAGATTCCCTGTTTCCCTCCCTCCTTTAAAAATATTTTTCTTGGAAAAGTGTTAAAAAGTACCAGGCATCTTTTTCTATCTCTGCTAACAAGAAGAGAAAAATCAATGGACTGTTAGGAAAAACTCTTATATAGTAGTTTTGTTTGATGATTTGAGAAAATTTCATTTTCTAAAGACATCTTATGGTATTTAAAGGAAGAAAATGTTATGGAACATTTTCATTCAGGATATGAATTCACTGCACCAAAACACTTTTTTCTCTCTGAAAAAACAGATGTATAGGGAATTACGAGGTTAATTTTTTAACCTCTAATATGATTGTAACATATTTGTGTTTATTTTGTGAACTACTCTAGATGTATTAAACATACAATATACTAAATGGAACAAATGAAACAAATGATAACTTTCATGTATCCTTTTAGAAATCCTGCAGTGAGCATTGTATTTTATTTCTAGCTACTGGAGAAATTTTCGCCATGAGGGTGACAAAAAGATTTTGCATTCAGTTGATTGCTCTGGAGAATATTGGCTTCTAGCTAATTACAATGATCATGTTCTCTTAGCAAGGTGATTCCTTTGGAAGTCTTTACATGATTAAAATAGAAAGCCTAGTGTTTTAAATATAAATGCAGCAAAAGTTGAAACTGCTTTTCCATGTATTCTTTGTAGTTCTCCAGCCTTATTTGTGACATGAAAAAGTAGCAGGTCATTTGACTGGATTAGGAAGAACAGGATTTGGAGAGGGTTTGCCTGTATGTGTTTGATGATGATCCAGCATCCTGGTTTTCCCCACAGTTCCAGCTGACCTTTTGTAGAAAGCCATGGTTATCATCCTTCCAGTGCAGTGGGATGTGCCCTCAACAACTCTTTACATCTACTCTGTACTGGACCAGCTCTATAATTTGTTCACCCAGTGCAAAATGAACATGTCCTTTGTTCAAAATAGCATGAAAAAAAAGAGTGTCGTTAAAGGTACAAATATACAAAAAGTATGGTTTCTATCTTAGTATCAAAGTGGAATTCAGGCCAGAAAGCATTAAACAAAATGAAGAATTGGTATCCCCTCCTCCCCCGATTGGTCAAAGAATAGAATTCACAATGAAAAAATAGATATGCATATATATGAACTAAATGTCCATGTATCGCTGTTTATAAATAAGAATGAAAGAGACATAGCAACACAATAGTAAGAAATTTTAATTTACCTCCAGGTCATGACAGATCAAATTAACAAAATCTAAAACAGAGTATATAAAGTATAATAAGTATAATTAACTAAGAAGGTCTGAAGGGCTGCATTTACAATCTTATACTCTGAACATAGAGACCTTACTTTCTTTTCAAGTGCCTATTAAATACAAGCATACCTCATTTTACTTGCTTCGCAGATAGTCTGTGGTTTTTTTTTTTATTTTTTTGCAAATTGAAGGTTTGTGGCAATCGTGCCCTGAGAAGTCTTTTGGTGCCATTTTTTGGACAGAATGTTCTCACTTTGTGTCTCTGTATCACATTTTGGAAATTCTCACAATATTTCAAACTTTTTCATAATGCTGTTGTACATTTAATAGACTACAGTATAGTGTGAACATAACTTTTGTGTGCTCTGGGAAACCAAAAAATTCGTATGACTCACTTTATTGCAATATTCGGTTTATTGCACTGATCTGGAACTGAATCCTCAGTATCTCCAAGGTGTGCCTGTGTTTATAAAAACTGAACCTGTGCTATGTTACAAAACAGTAATAAATTGTAAAAAATGAGACATAATTTAATAATACTAGAAATTAGAAAATGGAAAATTCAGGAAACAGAAAGCCTCTTATGTCTGGATATTTTAAAATGTTATATTAACAAATTCCTGAGTCAAAATAAAATTTTATAATATAGATTTCCCCTGCTATCTGAAAGTAGAGTGTTCCTATGAAGCCATAATGGGATAAAGCAAAGGAGGAATTACCATTAATTTATATGGGAAAAATTTTTGAGCGTTCCCAGAACCAAAAAATAACCTCCCAAATCATACCAAATAATACATAAAACCTAACATATAGTGTTCACACAATTCAAAACTATGGCGGCTTGATGCTGACTTGGTGAGTGTAGTTCCTGGATGGAGCTTGATGACACCACACTCACTGCTCTGGAGTGACTCCATCTTTAATGGCTCACTGCCGAACCAATGCTGAGCCGCAGGTTCAGCTTTCACTCTTTTTGGTAAAAGTGAGAATCCTCTTAGATTTCTTTGGATTAACGAAAGGTCTTTCGTAAAAGCAAAGTGGTGTAAAGCAAACATTCAAACAGTAGGGGATACCTGTATTTAGAAAACAGTGATAATGAAAGCATTAAATACAAATACATATGCAATGTAAAAGTAATGCTCATATGAAGACATATATATGAAGAAAATAACCAATCACTTCTTAATTTGACATTAGAAAAAGAGCCTCACAGTAAATGAAAGTCAATGGAAGGAAGAAATTAATAAAAATAAAAGCAGAAATAAAATGTTAGCAAAACTGTAAGATTAAAAATTAATCCCAAAGTGCCCTGTCTTATTTTTTTTCACAGCTAATCCAATAAAGAAAAAAAGCACAAATTTATAACATAGTAATTAATAACAGTATAATAATTGACAACCATAGAAACAGATTAAAATCAAAGAATAGACTTATATTAATTCAGTGCAAATGAAATAGAAAATCTTGGATAAAAGGAAAATTTTCTAGGAAAATATAATTTACTAAATGTAATGTACTCTGTACATATATATGTGTATGCATGTGTATATAAAAACCAAATTCAAGGAGCTAAACTGCAAAGAAGCACCAAGCTGAGATGCTTTCACAGAGAATTCTAACATACTCATATTGCTGTTGTTATTTTGCCATCGAGTCGGCCCCAACTCATAGCGACCCCTCCTTGGGTTTCCGAGGCAGTATCACTACGGAAGTAGGAATGCCCAACCTTCCTTCCGAGGAGTGGCTGGTGCGTTTGAACCGCCAGCCTTCTGGTTAGCAGAACATACTCATATAGAACAGACAATTCTAACACTATTGAGAATATACCAAAGCATAAAAATTAAGAAAACCATCCACAGTCCTTTTTTATGCAGCAATAAATGATTAATATCAAACCTGACAAAATTGTCACCAAAAAATGAGATTAGTTAATCGTACTTATTAATATTGATGAAGAAAATCCTAAATAAAATATTAGCAAACAGCATCTAGCAGTACATTAAAAGAATTCTTCATCATCAAATAAGAGTTATTTTAGGACTGCAAGGCTTTTCCTGTATTCGGTATGAAAAATTTATAATATAATTAATTCATTGTATTAGTAGCTCCAAGGAGAAAAATCACATGATCGTATCTGTGGATACTGAAATCTAACATCATTTTTTATTTGGAAAAAAAAAAATCTAGGAATAAGTGGTTTCTTTTACATGATAAAAATATTTGTATCTTGGCCTTAAATCTGGCTGATTACATTGAATTAACAAGTAGATATGAGGAAAGATAATGCAGGCATAAAAAAGAAGAAAGGAGAAGGTAAAACTATTGCTGTGTGAAGATTCATTTTTTATTCAACAATTATTCATTGAGTCCTTATTGTACCATAGGTACTAAACCAAAATCCAAACTCACTGCCAGCAAGTCGAATCTGACTCATAATGACCCTTCCTTGGGTTTCCGAGGCAGTATCACTATGGAAGTAGATTGCCCCACCTTCCTTCTGAGGAGTGGCTGGTGGGTTTGAACTGCCAGCCTTCTGGTTAGCAGTCCAGAGCCCCTACTCTCTAGGTACTAGTGGAAAAAAAAAAAAAGTATTAAAAATTTCTTGTTTTTAATGGAGCTCACATTCCAGTAGTATGCTATTATATGATTGTATGTCTGGAAAATTAAGAGACTCAAGTAAAAGACTACCATAGATGATGCAGAATTTTGGAACAAAATTAATACACAGAAACCAATGGCATATATGTATATGCCATTATATATATATTTGTATATATGCTATATATATATATGTGTGTGTGTGTGTGTGTGTGGTATAAAGTGGTATAAAGATATGTGCAAAACTTTTTTAAAGAAAAATTTAAAACAGTCTTGAAGATTGCAAAGGATGAAATAAAGATGTCAATTCACCCTGTATTAATTTAAGACCTCAGTGTGGTCTAATGAAAAATATCAACAGAGTTGCTTGTTATGCCATTTTTTTTAAATTTAAAATTGAGATAAGCTCATTCTAAAGTTCATATAAAAAATAAAGATTTCTGAGAAAATTTTGAAAAAGAAAAGTCTTCAATAGCCATTCCAGATGTTAGGCATGGTATGATGTCACAGTAATTACGACTGCATAGCACTAGCACATGAATAATAGAGCAGTAGAAGAACAGCTTTGGTTTCTCAGTGGGGAAAAAGGTGAAAAGAAGATCTGGGTAGCCATCTAAAAAGAAATTAAGTTAGATTCATACCTCACACTGTACAACAGAATATATTCCAAACACACTAATGTTTGAATGTAAAATTTATAACCTAGAGTATGCTAGAAGGAAATATGGGAGAATTTTTTGAACATTTAGGAGTAGAGAAGGTTTTCCTAATTATGACCCAAATTCAGAAGCTGTAACAGAAGAGACTGAGTCAAATATGTATTTTAAAAATGTATGCAAGTAAGAATCAAATGAAAATTCACTATAAGCAAATTCTAAAAAACAAATGACACACTAGGAAAAAATGATACTTACAGTATAAGCAAAGATTCAATCACCCTAATAATTGAAGAAATCTTGCAAATCAATAAAGAAAATACCAACAAATAAAAAAGTATGGGCAATGGATATAAGCAGATTGTTCACCAGAAAAGGAAATATAGATGGTTTTTAAAACACATAAAAAGATACTTTTCTCATAAAAGGGAAATACAAATTAAAACTACAGATACCACATTTTACATTTCATATTGGGGGAAAAAAATAAGTCTCATTTTGGTTGGTGAGACTTTAGGAAATGGGCACTTTTGCTTTTGAGAGTATAAAGTTGTAACAATCAGTAATGAGAATTTTTAAATATCTAAATAAATCATTGCTGGTGTAGTGGTTAAAATACCTGACTGCTAACCAAAAGGTCAGTGATTCAAACCTGCCAACTGCTCCGTGGGAGAAAGATGAAAAAGTTTGCTTCTGTAAAGATTTGTAGCCTTGGAAATCCTATGGGGCAGTTCTACTCTGTTCTAAAGGGTCGCTATGAGTCAGAATCTACTCGATGGAAGTGCATTTTGGTTAAATAAATCACAAGTACATAGATTGCCAGAAATTTATCCCATAAATATACTTGCACAAAATGACCTATGACAAAGTTATTTATTATTATTTGTTGTTAGGTAGCATCAAGTCAGTTCCGACTCAACAGCGACCTTCTGTACAACAGAATGAAACACTGCCTGGTCCTGCTGCATCCTCACAATTGTTATGTTTGAGCCCATTGCTATAGCTACTGTGTCAATCCATGTCGATTCTAAATATATATTCATTATATACCATTAATATAATAGTTGAAGTTTAGAAGCTACCTACATATCTATTAATGGGAGCTCTGGTGGTATAGTGCCTAAGGCATTTGACTGCTAACCGGAAGCTGGCAATTCAAACCCACCAGCCACTCCTTGGAAGGAAGACTGGGCAATCTATTTCCATAGAGATGCCGCCTTGGAAACCCAATATCTATTAATAGGGAACGGATAAGTAAGTATGGCACATCCCTACAGTTCTACAAAAGTGTGAGGACATTCTCTAGATACCTATATGGAAATAGCCAAAGGTTTTAGTAAGAGGTTTAATGTGGGATTTAATTAAAAGGAATGACCAAGAAAAGAAATCAGAAGTGAATGTGTTAAAAAAAAAAAGGGGGGGGGCAGGGACAGAGAGGGAGAAAAGGAAAAGGGAGAACATGTATGTAGTGGAACTGGTTGTTGTTATTGTTACTAGGTTCTAGTGAGTTGATTTTTGACTCATAGTGACCCTGTGTGACAGAGTAAAACTGCCCTGTAGTGGTTTCTTGACTGTAATCACGGAAGCAGATTGCCAAGTCTTTTACCATGAGACTCTTAAGCATTTGTGCCTGATATCTTAGGCTAAAGTGAGCTGTCTTGGGAATCTTCCATGCTTTTTATCTGTTCTATATTATCCTGATGTGTGATAGTTGGTATAGCATTTTTTCCTGAGGAAGAGAAGTATTTGAATAATGCCTATTCAGATATTTGCCATCCCCAGTGATATTCTCCCTCCCCTTGAGGGCTGATGAGGCTGACTTAGCCAGTTGGCTGCTCCATCAAATTTTCCTATCCCTTAGGAAGTGCACTGCTGTGAAAAGTGCAAGCATGAGAGTGAGATTCATATTTTTCAGTCTTGCTTCATAATGAATTACTTTTCCTAAGGGGTTATTTATGTTCATGTTGCTACTAGAAGGCCTAGGTAAGTCCTCACTGGTGACTTCAGAAATTTCGTTCAGTGTTGTTATTATTAGCTGCTGTCAAGTTGCCCCTGACTCATGGTAACCCCATGCATAGTGAGATCATACTGTTGTGATCCAGAGGGTTTTCATTGGCTGATTTTTCAAAGAAGATAGCCAGCTGTTCTTCCTTGTGTGGAAGCTCCGCTGAAACCTGTTGAGCATCACAGCAACATGCAAGCCCCCACTGACGTACGGGTGGTAGCTGCAGTTGAGGTGCACTGACTGCAAATCTAACCATGTCTCCCGCGTGGAAGGTGGAAATTCTGCCACTGAACTGTAATATAGGGGAAAAAAAATCTCAAACTTAGGTTGGGGAAGATTTGTTTATGGGTAATGTGGAAATGGATTGAAAATAACTATGCTGGTACCTTGTTTCATAGCATCCTGATGAAAAGAGATTGGAAGGCCTCTCCAAGCAGCTTGACTGGGATGTTCGCAGTATTCAGCGCTGGTTTCGACAAAGACGCAACCAGGAGAAGCCAAGCACACTGACGAGGTTCTGTGAGAGCATGTAAGTTGCTGTTTTTCTTTTTGAAACAAAAACCTGCCAAAGTATTCATCCCTGAGGTGAAAAATAACAGGTCTGTACAGATTCCAACAGCTCCTAAAAAATAAGTCATCTTATGGAAAAAAATGGTCCAGGAAAAATTGGGGGACCGTAGTTTGTAAGCATTTGTGATTTCTACCTTGGATCCATTAAGCATCCCTTCCTAATGGATTTCCTACAAAGTAGGCAGGCTTCCCGGGCCTCTGATGATATTTTCAACCAGCCATTTTGGAATATAGCACTAACATTCATGATCATTATTTTTGTTGTTGTTGTTATGGGCCGTCGAGTTGCACCCGACTTGTTATAGACCCCTGTAATTTAAATTTTAATAGTAGGAACTTAACATGTTCTTTCTTCTGATAAAAACTGAGATACAAAGATATATTATCAGAGGGTCATGATGATGTCCTGTACTCCTGGAAATGTTAAGAAATGGCTATATTATACTCTAGTGTAAGTTTGAGGAATTATTGCTTAAAGGTGGAGAATGGAATGAAAGTCTATTCCATTTCTAAAATGTATACTTTATGGTATGTAAATTATGTATCAATAAAGCCGATAAAAAGGAAAAAGAATCTATAGAGAATGCTTCTAGCACAATGATATTTTGAGGAGGTGATACTTAATGTGTTTATCCATCGGGAAGTCAGAGAAAGAAATAGTAAAGCATTCAGCACATTCTCAATAAAGGAAAGATTCTGTCTCCAGTGCGGTAACCGCGTTTGTTCTTCATTCTTTATGATATGACTATTGCTTAGTCTAACAGTTCTTTCCTTTGGGACCTTTGTCCTGATACTTGATCAATTAAACTATTGAACTGTTAGTATAGCTCCTTCAGTTTTAGGTCCTTCCTATTTGGGGTTAGAGTTACATTTTCAAGTTTGGCTTTCAATTATGCAAAAAAATAAACAAAAACTGATTTTAGTAATTACAGTTTAAGGTTTAAGGAATTCTGATGGCTCAGAGGTTAAAGCAATCAGCTTCTAACCAAAAAGGCTAGTGGTTCAAACCTACCAGCCGCTCCATGGAAGGAAGATAAGAAGTCTGCTACCGTAAAGATTTGTAGCCTTGGAAACCCTAGTTGGGCAGTTCTTCTCTGTCTAATAGGGTCACTATGAGTCAGAATCGACTTGATGGTGGTGAGTTTTTTTTTTTTTTTGGTTTAATTTAGAGGGAAACTTAATGCTATAAAAGAACTGAGTGAGAGGTTGAATAATTTATAAATTACTAGCTCTGGGTCAGTATGGTAGCATAAGTAGGGTCTTCAGGAGGTCAGAATATTTATGAAACCTTGAAATACAACCTTCTAGATACATCTGCAAACCCTTGCCATAATTGAACTTAGTGGCAGTTTATGGAAGGATTTATGCATCTGGGCTTCTGACCAAAACCAGCAATTGTTTCCTGGGCTGCTCCTGTGACATGAACAGAGGACCTGGACTCCGTCTGTGTTGGGTTTGTGCAGGGTGAGGTTGCATCTCAGCACCTGCCCTCATGCTTAACCTCCTGTCATCCTCCCCTTCTCCACGTAGCTTCTTCAGTAACTTGGTGCTAGCCCCTTCTGCACTGTACTCAGTCGACACCAAATCCTCTCAAATACCAAAGTGTTATGTGTCTATATATTTTCACCCCAATTATATTATAAAATCTTATGGGCCATAGGGCCCTGTCTTTTTCTTCTTGCATTCTTCTCAGCCCTTCCCACCACATACAGACTATATTGAATAAATATCTGTTAATGACTGAATGATATACTGGCATTATTTTGAAAGGATTTGCTGATCTAAGTTGCCACCCTTCCCCCACAAATGAAGATTGCCTAACATACATATGCTTAGCATAAAATTTGTTTAGGAAAATGACCAGACAATGGAAAGCTCCCAGATAATTTCAAAGACAGAGATTCAGAGGAAACAATGGAATGGGAAAAGATAACACTTAGATGACACCATAAGGAATACAGCAGAATTATGTTGACCAGTATATGTATATGTCATAGTTATTTTTCTATTAAATATAAACATTGTGGAACAGTTGTTTTTAACTACAGATATCCTTCATAATCACCTGATGAGATTTTCAAAATACACATGTTCAGGCCCCACCCCAGGTAATATGATTTAGTAGGGTGAGGCAGGTGGAGTCTGGACATGTGTGCTCCAAGTGATTGTGACATACATCTGTGCATAAGCACTAATCTCTTAAAATAGAGAACTATTGTTTAAAAGTACTAGAAATCAAATTAGACACCAAGAGAACACAAATTTGAGGTTCAGAGTTATAGGTCCTCAATGTAATGAATTTTCCTTTATGTAATTTATCCAAGCCCAAGCCCACTGCCGTCAAGTCGGATCTGACTCATAGCAACCTCTCCTTGGGTTTCCAAGGCAGTATCACTATGGAAGTAGATTGCCCAACCTTCCTTCCATATACAGGTTATAAATTTATATAAGTTTTCTTTCATATAAGTTACTATTCAGAAAATACAGAATTCCTTCAGGGGACTGGTGTTTCATTTTTAAGCAGTGTGAAATAGAACCAATATGCATGCCAAACAGCGTTTGTTGAGCATCTACTAGCATGTCCAATATTTGGCACACCCGTTTAATGCAGATAGATTTAGTAGAAGAAGTTGTTTGGCAGGTGATATGCTGAAATGTTGATTTTAAAAATTTTCCTTTTTCTGAATGTCAGTCATTCACAGTCCTGTCAGTGCTGATGAGTACTCTTCTATACACAGTCAAATCCTTATTGGCAACAGAAATTGACATTTTCAAGAGGGATTAAAAAATTTATTAAAAATGTGACATCTTGGGAGGAACCAATTCAAAATGGAAACCATTGCTGGCTTGGCATCATTCCTTGAGACTGCTGAAATTTGTCATCCTCCTCTGACAGTGGTATCAGTTGGGTGTGTTTTTCATTCAGGAAGAAACAGGAAGAAGCAGGAAGAAGTCAGAATTTATGGCTTGCCATCCATTTGTGCCCTACCTTTGTGCGTAGTTTTTGAGTATTGTTCAGTACATTTAATAGCACATATCTGGGAGTAAATATTATATATGGCTTTCATTTAAGTACTCTCCAGCCAACTGTAGAGATAAATCCCCCATTTGGTAACTGAAAAAGGAGGGAAGGTAATATTCACACTTCACAGATTACTACTAATTTATTTGAATGGAAGTTTGTACTAGATGGTGCTGAAGTCATGGAGCTTATATGTAAAATTGCTATTTTTATTTCTTATAGGAATTTCACAGGAAACAAATGGACTTTCTTAAATCTTATTTCAGATCAATCTTTGATCGGATGAAATTTTTTTGTGTGACCCAGACACCTGTTTGCAAAACAATTATCTCATATTTGGCAAATGCTTTGAAATCTTCCATATATTCCATAAACTAGTGATGAACAAAGTTTGCTAAAAAAAATCTGTTTTAATTATTTTCTCTAGCACATCATGTAATGAGCACGATTTATAAAGTTTGCTACCAAAATTCTCCTAAAGATTGATATAGTGTTTGAAAGGAAAATAAGAAAGTATTCACTTCTTGAAAAATGGCATCTTCATGTTTCTAGTACTGGGATAAATGATTAGCAATGTGCATGTATGGACCATGGGACTTCCAGAAAATTGAAGAACAGTTTAGTTCTTCAAAAGTACATGTTTGAGCTGTTTTGTTGCTCTTGTGATGATGGTAGTGGTTGTTTGCCCATTAGTACAAACAGGCCCTGGAATTGTTGGAACAACTTTTGTCATCCAGTACATAATTACAGGCCTAGATATTGATCAGATTTGGTCAATTCCATGAGTGTCATGGTGTCCAAGAATATTCTTTTAAATAGTTCTTAAATCTATGAGTTGTATTCAGATCAGTTTTCACTCTAGGGTAGGGGATGGTACATTTTTTTAAAGGGCCAGAAAGGAAATATTTTAGGCTTTGCAGGTTATATAATCGTAGTCACAGTTACTCAGCTCTGCCCTGCAGAGCACAAAAGTGGCCATAGTCTATATGTAAACAAATGAGCATGTCTGTGTTCAGGAACACTTTATTAGTGAATACTAAAATTTGAATTTGAATTTCATACAATTTTTATGTGCCACAAAATATTATTCTTTAAAAGATTGTTTCCAACCATTTAAATATTTAAACCAAAAAAACCAAACTCATTGCCATTGAGTCAGATATGACTCACAGTGATCTCTCCTTGGGTTTCCGAGGCAGTATCACTACGGAAGTAGATTGCCCAGTCTTCCTTCTGAGGAGTGGCTGGTGGGTTTGAACCACCAGCCTTCTGGTTAGCAGTCAAGTGCCTTAGGGACTGAACCACCAGAGCCCCTATTTAGAAGCTATTTTTAACTTGGGCCATATAAAAACAGGTGGAAGGCTACATTTGGCTAGCAAGTTATAGTATGGCAAACCTTGCTTTAGTGTTAACAATAGTATTAGTGGTTCTTTCTGAATTTCAAGAAAAAGAATGTGGTTCCCTAGAGCTAGGTACAGTCATCCATTGCTCAGAGTTTAGCCATAATGATAGAAATGCTTGACTAGCTCTATAGTTACAGTGGTGGTTCAGTGATTGAATTCTCGCTTTTCATGTAGAAGACCTGGGCGATTCCCAGCCAGTGCACCTCAGGTACAGACACCATCTGTCTGTCAGAGGCAGCTCGAGTGTTGCTGTGATGCTGCTGAGCTTCCAGACTAAGATGGATTAGGAAGATGGGTGATCTGCTTCTGCAAATCAGCCAGTGAAAACCGTATGGATCATAATGGCCTGATCTTGTGTGTGGGTCTGCCATGAGGGGCTGACTCATGGCAGCTAACAAAACATGGCTATCTCTAATGTTTCTGGAATATGGTGCCTGGATGCTGTGCAACATCGTTTAGCTCAACTAGACCCTTTTTGGGGAGGTCTGGTAGCATGGTGCCTAAGGCACTTGACTGCTAACTAGAAGGCTGGTG